TCTCTTTTTTCTCTTTTTTTTTTTTAAGAGACAGAGTCTCCCTCTGTCACCCACACTGGGGTGACAGCTTCAACTCCTGGGCTCAAGCGATCCTGTGGCCTCAGTCTCCCAAGCAGCGAGGCCTAAAGGCACACACCACCGCACACCTAATTTTTTTTTTTTTGAGATAGGGTGTTGCTATGTTGCCCAGACTGGCCGCCAACTCCTGGCCTCAGGTGATCCTCCCACCTCAGCCTCCCAAAGGGCTGGGATTACAGGTGTGAGTCACTGCACCTGGCCTATCCCTTTTCTTGCGATAATTGAAAAATCCCGATTCCTTCTAATCAAAAGAGGTTAATTCTCAAGAGCCACAGACTGAATCTTTAATGAGGTCACTATGAAGGTTGGGGATCTAGTGTGGATGGTTTAGGACAAAGTCACACTTCTGATGGAAAAACAAACTTGAAAGGGAGCCAACATTTTTTTCTGTGTTGACCACAGCCCAAGTGCTTGACATCTCTTATCTCGACATTCCTCACAACACCATTCTACCTCCAGGTGCTTAAGTCCCCATTTTACACAAGGGGAAGCAGGCTCAGTTATGCAGGTAAAATCACTTATTGTAAATGGTGAAGGTGCCTGCTCAGTCTGACTCCAAAGCCTCATTCAAAAAGAGGCAGGAAACCATACGACGTCAACAGGAGAGAGCAGAGATTCCTATATCTCTGGTCAGTGGCTTGCCCATGGGCCAATGTCTGGTGGCTGCCCCCAAATTTCCGAACACTTTATGATAATGTCCATTCTCAGGCCCCAGCCCCAGAGAGTCTGATTCAGAATGCTGGGGTAAAGCCTCAGACTCCGTATTTTGTAGGTGAGTAAAATGCACTTCAAGGCTTCAGAATTCCTGGGCTAAGAGGGAGGTTAGCAATGGCTTCTCATGGATGAAGAAAACACACATCTAGCCACACACAAGCCAGAAAAGAGGATAAATCCTAGATTCTAAAAATTCTGAAGTCTGCTCCAAGTTCTGCATAGTATGGGCAGAGAAAATAATTTACAATACTAGTGAGACAAAAGCTATACAAAGAAATGCAATATAGGGTTCTAAAGGAACTTATAATCAATGTGGGAAAAATGCAACCAAAACAACAATACAGCAGTATATGCCATATACTATTTAAGCTCTAGAAAAATTGAGGAGTGGGAGGTGTCAATTAGAACTTTCACTTTCCCACATCACACACCGGGGCCTATTGTGGGGAGGGGGAAAGGATAGTGGCCATGTTTGAGCCTAATTATTCGGTCCATCCTTTCCCTCAACCCCCAAAAAGAACCAGAGTTTCTTTCTCTTGGAAACATGAGTTCGGAACTGAACGAGAAGGAATGGTCTCTTTTACAGAGGAGCTGGGAAGGAACCACATTTTTTCTACCACTGGCCCAAGAAATAGAAAACTAAACTGCAGGGAGACAAAAACAAAGCAAAGAGGGGAAAAAAAAAAAAAGGCAGCAGAGATGAGCAAGGGAGAGCCTTGCTCATCCAAGTGCCCTTGGATTCCTGGAGAAACACTTGCAGCCTTGTAATCCATACTATTTTTCTTGAGCCAGTGTGTTGGTTACCATTACTAGCAACTGAATCCTCTACACAACATCATGAGGTTAATTTCAACTGCTTCTAACTATCGCCAAAACAAGATGAAATATTCCCTGACATAGCAAAAGGACCAAAGGCTGAAGGGAAAGTGACATCAGAAGCTGAAACGGACCTTAATGGACCAAAGGTGAAAAGTAAAACACAAAATGACTAGGACTATACAAGCAACAGGAGTCCAGGCAGGCACTGCTTAAGGTGCACTGCTGGCACTCTATAACCAACGCAAGAAAAGTGTAGGAGATTTCAGAACTGAATCAGTGGAGATTCATGGTAGGCTCATTCACCTGCATCCTGCCTTTATTTGAATGGTGTAAATTGTGTTTTGCTCCTCTATAAATATGGCATATTTTTGGCCAACATTAATAAGCCCTTATGAAGACGTTGATTTGAAGCCCATTACTCTGCATGGCTCTGTGATACACAGAGTTGAGCATTTACCAACAACTGTGGCCAAGTATGTCCACGGTACTGGTGAGAGGGAGGCTTGATTTAAAAAACAAAAACACCATCCAACTAATTCCTCCTTTAAAGCTTACCTTACTCATTCAATGCTACTAAGAACCTACCAAGTGCCAGACACTGGCTATGCCTTAACGGTCCCCCATACAGACAAGTCAACAGGCTATTCCTTCCAAGGTCCATGAGGAGGGAATGACTGAGCCTCTAAGACCTCTAGGATCGTGCTTCTGGCCACCTGTGCAAGCTGATCTTCCACCATTTCCCCCAGCCCACCCACTGGGCTCCAGATGTCCTCCACCTGAGGATTTACAGACTCACCATCCCTTCCTTCTGGAACACTCACGCCTGCTTAATTCTCAGTCATGCTGAGAGCTCAGTTCACGTGCTATTTCCTTAGAGAAGCCTCCTCTGACCTCCCAGTCTAGATCGTGTCCCTGTTTGTTCCTTCATAGCACTAGTACAATTTTATATATAAACACTCAAGTACATTTACAATTTCTGCATCTTCCTTCTCGCATAAGAGCTATATAACAACAGGTTCCTTCCTAGCCCGAGTCTAGCTCAGTTCTGTGTTGAATGAATGAACACTGAGTCCTGAAGATACAGAGGAGGAATCCCTGACATGGATTTAGGGGAACAATTCCACCTACTTAGGGAAGCCTCCAGAGCATTATAAGTCCCTGGAATTCTTTTTATTTATTAAAAATATATATATATATATTTCTTTAGAGATGGGCTCTCACTGTGTTGCCCAAGCTGGTCTCAAACTCCTAGGCTCAAGCCATCCTCCCATCTCAGCCTTCCAAAGTGCTGGGATTAGAGGCATGAGCCACCATGCCGGGCCCCCGGTATACTTTAACTTCTTCAACCTCCACTAACTATACCACTTCCTTGGCATAGATCTTATTACCTTTGTCTTTATTTTATTCACTTTTACTCTCTGTTTGTCTCCCTCCTATCTTTCATTTATTTCACAACCATGTTTTAGCATCCCTACTGCTTCCCACATAACATGCCAGTGGCTAGATATATGTTGGTAAATAAAATTAACTAACTTTGCCCAAATTAGATCCTAGGCATCTCAAGGATCAGAACTGAGGCTTATAGTCTTTTCTTCCCCCATAGCACCCAGCAGATAACAGGTATGTTATAAATATAAATGATTTTATTACTCATTATAAAGTAATAAAGGATTTATGACTATGGTGGGACTCTGCTGCTGGATAGCTAATGAACTGCCATGGGAATTAAGGATGCTGGGGAGAAATCTCTAACCTTGAAGTTACAGATATGTCCATGCCTCAGTGCCACTTTCAGAGATGAAATGTGAGAGAAAATATGACACATGACCGAGTCAGTACATCACGCTAAGCTGCGGTAACAAAGAAAAAAAACCAAAGGTTTTTAAATTTAGAGGAAAATGGTTATCCTTAATGTGTGCCTAAAAATCATACTTTGAGGATAAAAATCACCTGAACAAAGTGTGTACAAAAACATAGCAGGGAAAGACATATCTAATTGCTTTTGGGCATTTTTATGACCCCTCACACACAAATAACACATGTTACCGAGTAATACACACATATGTCCCACTATTGCTAATCCTGAATTATAACTAAAATATGCAACTGTGAGTTCTGACTTTATTATCCAGGCTTAATAAGCTAAATACTGGCATTTCTTCATATTATAAAGGGCCCAGAAGATAACAGTAGGTCACGATTTTTAAATGGAAATGTCCTTAACTCACGTTGTGGAACTTTAATGATAGCTGGTTGCTTCAATCTGATGGCTGTATCACGGGACCACTGACTTTGCAGTTGGTACTGACAGAAGAAAGGCATGAGGAAAAGAGGTAGGGGCTGTCGCCAGCACTCTGCCAAGGATGGGATGAAGAACTCTGATAGGAGGACCACACCGTGGGTTAACAAGTGGAGACAGAGCCAGAGGAGGATATGGGGTAGCTCGTTTCCAGGTCCCACATGTTTCAACCCTCGTTCTCGAGTGGTCAAAACCAGGGGTTTAATATAGAACACAGAGGACATTAGGTTACAGCTGCCTAGGGATCTTAGTTCTCCATTGGCAAAATGGAAACAGCGCTTACGCTATCGGCTGCCTAGCCGCTTTTTAAAATTTATTTATTATTATCATTTTTTGAGACGGAGTCTCACTCTGTCGCCCAGGCTGGAGTGCAGTGGCGCGATCTCACTGCAATCTCCGCCTCCCGGGTTCAAGCGATTCTCCTGCCTCAGCCTCCGAAGTAGCTGGGACTACCGGAGCGCGCCACCATGCCCAGCTAATTTTTTTTTTTTTTTTTTTTTTTTGTATTTTTAGCAGAGACGGGGTTTCACCATGTTAGCCAGGACGGTCTCTTGACCTCGTGATCCGCCCGCCTCGGCCTCCCAAAATGCTGGGATTACAGGCGTCTTAGCCGCTTTTTAAAAACTCTTCCCTCTTTATTTGTACCGCAATTTGTATTTTCAAAATGCGTTCACCTAGCATGCGCCTACTAACCAGGAGGTGAGGAAAAGCAGGCCAGAAGCCCAACTCCAAACTCCCATTTCCTCGAAGATAAAACTGAGGCTCTGACCAGTTATGTGCGCGAATGCCGAATGGATGTCCCTGGGGGCGATGCCCTCTCACTAAGAAAAGGCCTCCGGGACTGCCCAACGCTTCCTGCCCGCGTTCGGAATCTTACAGACCCGCAAAACTGCAAATGCGCTAACAGTCCTAAACACGTCCGCGTTGCCAGCTCTGAACTGCAAATGCCGGCAGCAGAGCCGTTTAATCACAAGGTAAACGGACAGTCGCCGCAGCTCGGCTGCCTCCTCCCTGGCAAACCCAGGGCAGGCTGCGACCCGCAGAGCCAGGCTGAACCCGGCGGCCGACCCAACGCCGCTGCTGTCGCTACCTGGACGCCGTGCACGATGTACACCTTCTCCGCCTCGCTCAGCGCCACGGACGCCATGCTGCCGAACAGCCCCGCGAGCCGCACGTCATCTGCGCGCGTCGCCTCCTCTGGACCGCACCCCCACGTCCCACCCACCGCGTCAGCGCGTCATCAGCCTGTGCGGCGGCCGCTCCTGCAGCCGCGGCCGCCGCCACTGCCGGGAGCTCGATGGGCTTCTCCTGCGCGCCGCCCGGTGTCTGGCCGAGTCCAGAGAGCCGCGGCGCCTCGTTCCAAGGAGCCATCGCCGTAGCCCGAGGCCGGGTCCCGGGTTGGGGACTGCAGGGGAAGGCAGCGGCGGCCGCGGCGGGAGCCCCACCGGGGTCTGGGACTGGGGAACTGCCTCCGGCTTCACGGTCAGTTGGGAAGGGAAACCGGAGTTGGGGTGAAGAAGCTGGGGTGAGGCGAGCCACACGGGCCGGGGGACTCCCAGTGGGAGAGGCGTGCGGCGTAGTTACTCAGAGCTGGAGTTGACTTAGGAGCTCGTGTGTGTGTGTGTGTGTGTGTGTGTGTGTGTGTGTGTGTGTGTGTGTGAGAGAGAGAGAGAGAGAGAGAGAGAGACCCCGACTACGGAGGGGCGGACGTCGTGATTGGCCCGGGGGTGCTGTTTCCCCGCTCTTCTCTCCTCCATTTCTCTAGTCCCTAGGATGACTGAAGAGGAGAGGAGAGGCGATGCAGCCCTCTGTAGGTAGCTCTCGGTGGGAAGGGTCCGGGAGTGGGGGACACTAGTCCTAAGGCGTCCCCACCCCTCCACCCAGGAATATCTCTCGCTGGCTCGCTCACTCTCTATGACCAAACGCTGTCCCAGTACCTTGCTGGGACTTCTTGCCTCGGGTGCTTACCAGAGCGTTGTCCCAGGGACAGGGGGGAGGAGGCGCTTGGTAACCGGCGCTGCCGAGGTGCGCAGTGCCCGGACGTCCCCGACGCTTCCTAGCGGGAACTGGAAACCTCGGCTTGATGGAAGCTGTGAGCAGTTGCTGGAAAAAAAGCCAACCCCAACCCCTTGCTATGGCCGAGTGGGAGTATGGGTATTGGATACCTGGAGAGGATATCTGCAAGGTGAAGCTGGGGTCACCAAAGGAACTCATTAAGGCGGGGCGGACAAGTATGGTGCAAGTTTTAAAGGCGCCGTGTGGATAAATGGGAGAAAGTTAACCCAAATTAGTTGAAGCAAGGAAGGCAGGTTAAAGCAAGTCTGATGAGTTTCCTGATGTTCCATTTTTGAGGACCCTCCCTGTTCTCAAAAGTGAAAGTAACCCTAATCAGCTTGATGAACCAAAAAAAAAAGGTTGGTATTATCAGATAATGGCTTCAAATACAGTTTCAGATAACCATTGGGAGCCTACTATAGACAGGCTTTGTGCTACCTCTAGAACACAAGACGAGTAAAACACACTATGCCGGGAGAAGTTCCCTGGGCAGATGAAGGCTCCGGGGCCAACATCACCACAGATCATGGTGATTAGAGCTATGATGGTGGCATCAGTGAGCACAGTGGGATTGGGAGGTCGTCTGATAAGGTTATAGAGAGGAAGTGCTTGCTAACATTCTTAAGCATTAAACTGCTGAGCTCCAAAATTGATGATCAGTTCTTCACAGACTGGACATTAGATGTTTCGTATGTCTGTACATAATTCTCTACAGGGGCACTTAAAAGGAAGACAGTTTGCAGGATTGGACTTTGCCTTCCAGGGAAACTGAAAGAGGTGAAGCCGGAAGGATTTCCTCCCTAATGAAGGCACAGGTGCCCCACCTGTTGTGGCACATAAGTGTGTTTGTATGTGGTTGGACAGCTGGGTTCTGTGTGAGGAGCTGTGTGTGATAAGATAACATGAGATCGCTAATGTTATAAATGATATTTTCTAGATGTGCTAGAGATTGCTCAGAAAGGAGAAACGCTGGAAGTGGGATTTTAGAAGCTAGGATATCTGAGGAGACTAAGGATTTAAGAGGTGACAGCAAATGGACAGATCAGAAAGACACAGGAAGAAAAGCCTGAGTTCAGATACCATGGAGTCATCTTTATATAAAGATTTTCATATAGAACATGTATTTGAACTGCCCTCCCCTCACAATTGACAGGAATTCCATACTGGACAAGGGTCTGCAGTATTTGCTAAATAATGTTATGAATGATGTCTTATATATGAGGCTAAGTAGGTAAGAGAGATGTAAACAGTAGAATGTTCCTTTTTAAATGTCTGCTAAAACAATGACAATCTTCACTAATCATCTGCTTAAATGCTGCCACAACATTTTTATCACCTTTGCTGTGACAGTGCATTGGACATCTTTAAAATCCATAAATTCAGAGTTATTTTTTAGTGTATTGAAGTAATTCAAAGAACATATGATAACCAAAAAAAATCAAGAAGTCAAGGATGGCACAGTATTAAACCATCTTGTTTTTCCATCACTATTAGATTCGTTTATTGAATGAATAAATGAATTGGGGCATACTATTCTGTAGGTTTGTGTATTCTAAAACCTTATACTCTTAATTTTCAACACTAATTTACATAGTACTTATTGTAGGCCAAGCATTGTTCTAAGCACTTTATAAAGATTAACCAGGCTAGGTGCGGTGGCTCACACCTGTAATCCCAGCATTTTGGGAGGCCGAGGCGGGTGGATCACCTGAGATTGGAAGTTTGAGACCAGCTTGACCAACATGGAGAAACCTCATCTCTACTAAAAATACAAAATTAGCCAGGCATGGTGGTGCATGCCTGTAATCCCAGCTACTCGGGAGGCTGAGGCAGGAGAATCGCTTGAACGCAGGAGGCAGAGGTTTTAGTGAGCCGAGATCACGCCATTGCACTCCAGCCTGGGCAACAAGAGCAAAACCCCATCTCAAAAAAAAAAAAAAATTATTCAGTCCTTGCAACATCCTCATGATGCAAGTGTTTTTATCCCTATTTTACAGATTGGGAAATGAGGCACAGAGAGGTTAAATGCCTTAACCAGGGTCACAGGTTACATCATTGGTAAATGGCAGAACCAGGACTTGAGACCAGGCAGCCTAGCTCTCCTGCCCACACTCCTAACCATCACCTTACACAACCTCCCCCCAAGTTTTATTACATTCACCAAAGTATTTGGTGAAGGAAGTCCCAATTTTGTTATGGCATTGGTAACTGTCCCATGAACTATATAGTTAATCTTAATTCCAAAAGCAAGAAGTCTGTTCAAGCATAAACTCATATCTCTTGAATCATTTTTCTAGAGGAACGTGGAATGTGGTGCTGATGGGACTTTGCTGTGTCTGTTGCAGCCCAATATTTTAAACAAGGCAAAAGGTTATATATGAGCAGAATAGAGTTTAACTCCAGATAGCTAAGGAGAGAGCCCTCAATGGCAAAGAAGGCTGATAGATCTGATACTAGGGTTGAGTAGCATGCATGGAGACCCAGATTCCAACCGTATGCCATACTCAGGATATCTAGAAACTCTTCAGTCAGTCAGTGTTTGCATGCCTGTGAGTCCCTAGTGTTCTTATGGGCATAAAGAGATAAGAAACTCAAAACACAGCACCTGCCTAAAAATAGTTTAGAGTTTATTATAGTGGGGGAGCCCAGGACCTTGAACTACTGCATGAACAAGACAATAAAATAAAGTGCTCAAATTGAGACATGTGGCAATTAGAAGAGAGACCAGCCTATAATAAGGTGCTAATTGTGCAGGCCAGTTACCAGATACAAAAGGTAAGAGCTGCTGCTAGCCACAAGCCAGCAGCAATAACATTACAGAGGTAGAGTAAATCTGTCCCACCCAGCCTTGGTTAATTAAACCAATAAAAGCCAGTTACAAAAGAGCTTCAGGGCAGTGCTGAGTCTGTGGTGCTGACATTGCAGAGAGCTTTTTTGGAGATAGAATCTTGCTCTGTTGTCTAGGCTGGAGTGCGGTGGCACGATCTCTGCTCACTGCAACCTCCGCCTCCTGGGTTTAAGTGATTCTTGGGCCTCAGCCTCCTGAGTAGCTAGGATTACAAGTGTGTGCCACCACTTTGGTAGAGACTGGGTTTGGCCATGTTGGTCAGGCTGGTCTCGAACTCCTGGCCTCAAGAGATCTGCCTGCCTCGGCCTCCCAAAGTGCTGGGATTACAGGCATGAGCCACTGTGCTCAGTTGCAGAGAGCTCTTAAAAGCCCAGTAGGAAACCTTCCAACCCCAGTCCTAAGCAGACATGGCCACATTTTAGGCCTTTTGCTTTGCATTTTCACCATTAGCCCAGCACCCTCGAAATGTACAAAGTGAGTTATTGTTTTCCCTGTAGATCTGTTTCCTTTAAACACTTTACATTTGTCCTGCCTGTACCTTGTCTTAAAAGAATGAGGTAGGAGGATCCCTTGAGCCTCAGAGTTTGAATCCAGCCTGGGCAACATAGACCCCATCGCTAAAAAATAATAAAATAATAATAAGTAATAAAATAATGATAGAAATGAAGAGTATCTGTAAAGAATACTATCATAGTCTGGCCAGCAGGTCTTCATCTGTCTTCCAGACATTATAACTCGGGATTACAGTGATAGAAAAATTGCTAGTAGTACATGGGTAAAGCTTACTCTTAATTAGAGGAAAGGTTATACAGTCTTCATGTGTGTTTCATTTTGGGAGAGTGACAGCGTGTTTCCTATGTCTCATTAGGGCATATTTGAGAAAAGGGGGTCACAGATCCTGATTACCAAATGTGGAAATATTTAAACACACACGCCCTGATAGCCATGGAAAGTAACAAAGTCTCAAGTAGAAGTGGAGGGGTGATGTCTCATATTGACCTGCTAGGGGAAAAAATGAGGCTCATGCCATGCTGCCTTTAGTTCCTTCCTGTTTTGCATTTTAAAAAATCATTTGCTTTCCTCCTCGGAAGCAGATTTTCAGAGACAAATGGCCAGTTCATTCATGGCTATCAACTGTGAAGGTGAGAAGGCTCCAGGTGCATGTCCTACTTAATTCAGTCATACATCCTAATACATTTGGAATGCATGGGAAATGTCATTATTTCATAGTCTCCTCCAAACCATAGCCTTCCTAGTATATATTGACTTGGTGCTTGAACTCTTGGCAAGACATAAATGTGTATTTCCTATTCAAGGTCAGTGGAGATGGAATACCTTTGGGTGAGATCACTTTCTTACCTTAGCAAGGTGAGCCTGATGGGACAAGTACAGTTCTGGCCACAGTCCTGTTGCAGTAAAGTCTTCAGTATGTGAAGACTTTAAGAAATAGACCAAGAAATAGTAGCAGAGAATCTAGAAAGACAGGTTGGTTAGGAAGATAACAATCTATAGTGGAAAGACTTCCCGGCATCTTATTCCAAAGCTTTGGGCTTTGCTATTAACTTGCTTTATGACTTTG